TGTTTAGCATAACTGGCATATCTTGCAATGACAGCTACAAAAGTGCCATGCAAACACCTGTTCTCACTTTCAGGTGACACTGTAAATAAGAAGCAGGAAGCAGTATCTCCCATCAATGTAAACAAACTTGTTTGTCTTAGCGATTGGCAGAATAAGAAGTAGAACTGAGCGGACTTGTAGGCTCTAAAGTTTTACACTGTTTTACTTTTGAGCTCAGTTATGTAACCAAAAAAAAATCTGCATTTGTAAGTTGCACTTTCACGAGAAAGAGATCGCACTACAAAGTATGAGGTGAATTGAAAAATACAATTTCTTTTGTTTATCATTTTTACAGTGCAGATATTTATCATTTTTACAGTGCCGTGTAATCAAGCATAATAATGTAAAGTGAGCCCTGTGCACTTTGTATTCTGTGTTGTAACTGAAATCAATATTGAGAATATAGAAAAACATCCAAAAATATTTAATAAATTTCCACTGGTATTCTATTGTTATAAGTGTGATTTATTGCAATTAATTTTTGTAATCACAATTAATTCTTTTGAGCGAATGGCGTGAGTTAACTGCGATTAATTGACAGCCTAATTCTTATTATTTAAGCATGGGCTAACTATCCATAGAGATTCTATAGTTCAGTTTGGTTCATTTAAGATTTTTACTATATTTGTCTCTGTGCTTTCTTTCATGTATAGTGCCACTCCCACACCAGTACGACCTACTTGGTCATTCCTAAATATCTTGTACGCTGGTATTACCATTTTGATTATGATCATTCCACCAAGTTTCTGTGATACCTATTGTGTCAATAATACCAGGCACTCGGGTTCACCCACTTTCGTATTTAGACGTCTAGCAAATGTATTTAAGCACTTATAAAATGTGTCCCTTTTTATCTGTCTGCCATTACGTGATGTAATTGAATGGGACTCTATCATTTGACTGTTTCTCATCAGATCCTACCTGTACGGGATGCATCCGATGAAGTGAGCTGTAGCTCACGAAAGCTCATGCTCAAATAAATTGGTTAGTCTCTAAGGTGCCACACGTCCTCCTTTTCTTTTTACCTGTACATTATCATCTTCCATCCTCTCCTCCTTACTAGGATACAGTGAATCCCCATGAATAGATCCTCCCTTCAGGGATGTCTCTGTCCAAACTGTGTGGCCAGCTCTGAGGCTATGTCTACACTGCGCACCTTAAACAGCCCACCTTAAAACTGCTCTGAAACCTCTTTTTCACATGTAGTTTAGGTGGAGCCCTTCCTTTCTGAATTGAAACCATAAACACCAAGACTGGGTGTTTTTCTAACCCATCTGCTCTGGGGAATAGTTCAGGGCAGGTGTCTGGCCTGTGTGATGCAGGAGGTCAGACTGGAGGAGCACAGTGGTCCCTGCTGGCCTTGGAATCTATTAAAATAACATCGGAGCAGAGAGAGATTCAGGTGTGAAATGCAGGGGGGAGCTGGGTCCTAGCAGATCTCAGTTTGGACAAAGCAGCCCCACCCCCAGACCAGGCATCACGCCCAGCTCGCTGTCTGCGGGGAGTCTCTGGCGCAGGGAGTCACCCCAGGAGTGGGTAGGGGAATTAACCCCTTCCCCCTCCGCTCCCCCAGCCCAGCCCCTCCTGGAGGGGTGGGAAGTTTATTCCCCGTCCCTGGAGCTGGGAGAGAAGGCAGGAGACAGGGAGATGGCGGGGGAGGGGAGAGGATACCAGGGCTGGGGGGATCTGGAGCTGGAAAAGTCAGCCCAGAGCTGGGTAACAACGTAGTCCCCCCGCTACCCTCTGCCGTTCATCAGCTGTCGGCTAATTAGAACCGCCCCCACCCCCGCCTGTCCCTGCCCCACCCGAGTGTTGCCGGCACCCAGTGCCGAGAGGCTGAACAACAGCTTGAGTGGTTCGTTACCAGCTGCTGCAAGTGCCTCCAGGCAGGAGGGGGGCCAAGGACACCTGGGCCTAGTGCAAGTGGGCTTTATCGACACTCGTGGTCTTCCATCCCCTCAAGTTACCTAGTGGCCATGCCCCAGTGTCCCCAACACGAGTGACTCAGCGCTGCCGGGCAGCCCCCAGCTGGTGTCAGTCGGACCTCGTGCCATTGCAGTGGGTCCCAGGCTGGATGGGCCCCGGGTCTGATCCAGGGCAGCTGGGGGAATGGGGGAGGGACCAGATGAGCCCTGGGGTCTGATCTGGTCTAGCAAACCCCACAGCCTGGATACCGGGCAAGCCAGGCCCCAGTCACTGCCTGATCCAAATCAATGTAACTATTTTATTGCTAGCTGGTAAGTCTGCTGTGAAAAGTGATATTAACGAACATACAAGTATGACCCATTAAGCCCTGGAGGGAGGGTCGGGGAGGCGGTAGGGGTCGGGGGAGATAGGGGTGCGGGACTGGGAGAGGCAGTGGGGGCTGGAGCCTGAAGCCCTGCTGCCAGAGTCCAAAGCCTCGCGGCTGGATGACGGGGCCCAGGGACGGAGCCTGAAGCCGTGTGGCCGGAGCCTGGGGCCTGCTGCCACGCAGCCAGAGCCCGGGGCTGGAGCCCAAAGCCCCGTGTCCAGAGCCTGCCATGCCGCCACCCCAGGGCTGAAGCCCAAAACTTGAGCCCCACCACCCTAGGGAAAGTGGGGAACTCGCTGGCTGCTTGCTTGCGCAGTGTTGTGCCCCAGATGACTCCAGAGAGGGGGCAGGGCCTCTAATCCCTGCTGGTGACCACAGCGGTGCATCCAGGAGCAACAGGGAGAGGGAGGGAGAGCGAGCTAATTTGCCCTCCCCCCATCATAGCCCAGGAGGCTGTGGCCGCAAGAAACGGCCTGGTGGCTGCATTTGAGAAATGCTAACTATCACACTCAACTCTGCTTCCCACCCAGGCCCCGATGCCGGAGAATCGGCAGCTCCTGGACCAGTCCCTGTAGGAAGCCTCCGGTGTATTTCTGCAGGTGGGCGGCTTGCCCAGCCGCGTTGTTAGCATTCAGGGTCTGGAACGAATTACCCCCGGGGGTAGATTGGCCGGGACTGGGAAGGTTTTTTCCCCTTCCTCTGTGGGGTGGATCACCTAGGTGTGGCAAAGCAGCCCGTTCCCACCCGGCGTCCACACATGTCCACCTCTTTTTGTTACCTAGCCCCCAGTCAGGTCACGATTTCGTCCCACCCCTTTTAGTCGCCGTGGCCTTAGGAAAAGATCTTCAGCCCTGAGTCTAAGCCCCATGGTCCTGGCCTTTCTCCGGTTTTGCACCACCTCCCCTGTGGCTGGTAGGGGAACCCACTGGCTGCACTGGATTCCAGTTTGGGGACCCTAAGGCCAGCCACCAGAGTTCAGTCCACCAGACCTCTTGCTGCTACTTCTCTGGACTTCCTCCCACCCAGCCACCCTCAGCCCTTCTCCCCACGACCTCTCGAGTCTCCCCCTCCTTTCGGGGTCAGAAATCCCCCAGTAAATCTCCATCAACATGTATACACTCAAATCCAGCACCAACGCCTTCCCTGCGCTCTAATCCCGGCCTGCGACCACAGCGCCCCTTTGCCATCTCACCTTCCTCGGAGTATAATCCTCTCCCCAGCTGGGGTTCATCACCGCGGGGCCCATCCTCCAGGTGTGCCCCTCTGTGCACTGGTCTCTGAATCATAGAATCATAGAATATAAGGGTTGGAAGGGACCCCAGAAGGTCATCTAGTCCAACCCCCTGCTCGAAGCAGGACCAATTCCCAGTTAAATCATCCCAGCCAGGGCTTTGTCAAGCCTGACCTTAAAAACCTCTAAGGAAGGAGATTCTACCACCTCCCTAGGTAACGCATTCTAGTGTTTCACCACCCTCTTAGTGAAAAAGTTTTTCCTAATATCCAATCTAAACCTCCCCCACTGCAGCTTGAGACCATTACTCCTCGTTCTGTCATCTGGTACCACTGAGAACAGTCTAGAGCCATCCTCTTTGGAACCCCCTTTCAGGTAGTTGAAAGCAGCTATCAAATCCCCCCTCATTCTTCTCTTCTGCAGGCTAAACAATCCCAGCTCCCTCAGCCTCTCCTCATAACTCATGTGTTCCAGTCCCCTAACCATTTTTGTTGCCCTTCGCTGGACTCTCTCCAATTTATCCACATCCTTCTTGAAGTGTGGGGCCCAAAACTGGACACAGTACTCCAGATGAGGCCTCACCAATGTCGAATAGAGGGGAACGATCACGTCCCTCGATCTGCTCGCTATGCCCCTACTTATACATCCCAAAATGCCATTGGCCTTCTTGGCAACAAGGGCACACTGCTGACTCATATCCAGCTTCTCGTCCACTGTCACCCCTAGGTCCTTTTCCGCAGAACTGCTGCCTAGCCATTCGGTCCCTAGTCTGTAGCTGTGCATTGGGTTCTTCCGTCCTAAGTGCAGGACCCTGCACTTATCCTTATTGAACCTCATCAGATTTCTTTTGGCCCAATCCTGGAGGAGGAGGGGGGGGAGACTCGAATCCTGAAGAGTTGGGTGTTTTAATCCTTCAGGCACTGAGCTGTGCTCCCAACCTTCACGTAGTTCTTTGTCTGGGAATTTCCTAGGGTTTTTTTTCTTTTCATTATTAAAAAATCCCACCAAGCCTGAGGTTGCCCCCGGCGACATGTCGACTGATTTGAAGATCGGCAGGATTAGCTTCAAACTGTTTTTTAAAATTAAACATTTAAAGGGCTGTTCCCCAGTGCCCCAGCACAGCAGAAAGCCCTGGCCAGATACAGCTGGGTTTATAGCTGCTTTGCGTCTCCAGCTGCCGAATCTGGCCCTTAATGTGCAATTGACTCACTGGTTTAGGGTTATGTGTTGCAGAGCAGAGCTCTGTAGAGTGGATGTAGGGAGCTGTCCCTGGGTCACCGTATCTCTTTGTCTTTAAGGGGGGCTCCTGCCTCAGTTTCCCCAGCAGGGCTGCCTTGCCACACAGGGGAGCCTAGGATGTCTGAAGAGCAGCGACAGATGGGCCAATATTGACATTACCTCTCACCCCGAAGAAGCCATCTGGTGCCCAGGTAACCATGGCTACAATTACGCAGAAAAACATCAGGCTTACACTGTTGCTATCGCTGCGTTCAGTGGCTCCCGCATCATCGCGTGTAAGAGGGGACCGAGGCGTGGCCGAGAGCTGGTAACCAAGGGGATGTCGGCCGGGGAGAAGAATCAGCCCCTGGGAAGGGAGCGTCACAGTTCGACGTAACTGCACCTGCCTTCCCCCTCCATGAGCCACGTTTCTCTCCCTCCCGGCTACACAGTCCCCTGGCTACTGGGGCTACGTCCAAACGGCCTCCCCGGCCCAGCACCCGCGCTCTGCTTCTTCTCTGGAGGCTGCAGCCGGAGGAATTGCCACAGCGCCAAGTGCCCAGCCAGCTGCTTCTGAGCAAGCCCCGTTCGGAGGTAACCTGACAACCCATAAAAGACCCCATGGTCCCATGTGCCTGGGAAAAGCTCCCTGGAGCTCAGCCCCACTCCAGCCCGGGGCTCTGGCCAGGGTCAGTCCTTCCAACCCCACCGGGAGCCGAGGTGAGTCTCAGCCGAGCATGGCCTCTTGGGGCCACCGTGTCCCTGGGCCGAGCTCTGGAGATGCTGGATTCCAGCCGAGTAATAATCGCTGCGGTGGTTTGAAGAGGTTGTCCCGATTCCCAGCAGAACCTCCCCGTTCACATCGCTTCCTGACGGCTCTCCAGGCATCCAGTCTGAGAGGTCTCGCTCGAGGAGCTCACGGCAGGAAATGGGGGGCTGTGGGAGCAGAAGACCTAGTCCTGGAGGCACTGAGTCAGTGGGGCTGGGGGGACATGAGAGGGGGAATCTCTGGAGCTGGCACAGTAATGGGGATACTGGTTAAGGGGCTGTTTGAAGGCCCAGGCCTGACTCCACGACCCCTGTAAATTCTCTAATCAGTCTTCTGAGTTAAAATGACTTTACAAACGAGGCCCTTTACAAAATTTTGCCCCTGGTGTGAAACAATCTGACAGGAATAACACCGGGAATGTTCCTGCTGGGGGGATGAATTGAAATCTTGTGCACTGGGTGGGCTGGCAGGAATCTGGTGGTGACCGAGACACAGGATGCCTTGGTGTTCCCCTGTTACAGATGGGGAAACTGAGGCACAGAGGCGGACATGCTGCATCCGAGGTGCACAGAGGGTGCGTGGCAGAACAAGGATTCGAACCCAGGACTCCTGAGTCCCAGCCATTAATCATTAGGCACCGTTCCCTGCTGCCCGCAACAGCCCTGAAGGCTTGCCTCATCCATTGGCTACACCTTCCCATTTTGTTCATAGGAAAAGGTAACTGGGAATGTCACTCATGGCACCGTACTGGGATAATGGCAAATCCTTGTGCATCACAGCTGGAGTGAGTTCCTCCCACAGCCGGCATTCCCGCCTCACTCCCCACAGCGCCCCCCACAGGGCCAGGCTGGGGCTAGAGTAGCCAGGAGCTCCCACGAGGCCGACGGTCCCACCCGGCTGCCCACAGCACCCCCTGCTGGGAGAGGCTAGGATTTCACACCCTAAATCTCACTAACCGCTGTGTTTTTTCCTCCCTGCAGTGCAGTCGGCACCAGACGTGGTAGCTCATTTCAGGGGGGACGTCACCCTGAGATGCCTCTTCCTGTCCCAGCCCGGCATGAACCTCCAGCGTCTGACCGTCACCTGGCAGAAGGAGCAGGTGGGGGCAGAGGCCTTGGTGGTTCACAGTTATTATTACGGGAGGGAGCAGCTGGAGAAACAGGACAAGGCTTATAGGAACCGGACCCGGCTGGAACCAGAGGAGCTGGCCCGGGGGAATGCGTCCCTGACACTGAGGGACATCCACATGCAGGACGAGGGTGTCTATCAGTGCCACGTCACCACGGAGCTGGGCACGACGTCTGAACTCTGGGGGCTGAGAGTGGGAGGTGAGTGCTGGGGATGCTGCATCCCGGGATGGGTCTGGCTAATGCAGAGTGGTTCCATGTAGCTGGTAGTGACTGCAGCCTGCGTGGCACCGTGTCCCCTCCCCAGTCGCTACAGCCTGTGTCAGGGTTCCTCCCCCACTCTGAACTCTAGGGTACAGATGTGGGGACCTGCATGAAAACCTCCTAAGCTTACTTTTACCAGCTTAGGTTAAAACTTCCCCAAGGTACAAACTATTTTACCCTTTGCCCTTGGAATTTCCACTGCCACCACCAAACTTTATCTGGGTTCCTGAAAAAACGTAGTTTGGAAACGTCTTTCCCCCGAAAATCCTCCCAACCCTTGCACCCCACTTCCTGGGGAAGGTTTGGTAAAAATCCTCACTAATTTGCGTAGGTGACCACAGACCCAAACCCTTGGATCTTAGAACAATGAAAAAGCATTCAGTTTCCTTACAAGTTTCAGAGTAACAGCCGTGTTAGTCTGTATTCGCAAAAAGAAAAGGAGGACTTGTGGCACCTTAGAGACTAATCAATTTATTTGAGCATGAGCTTTCGTGAGCTACAGCTCACTTCATTGGATGCATGCATCCCTTTATATATATGATAGCCTGTGTGGCACCGTGTCCCCCTCTAGTGGCTGCAGCCTGTGTGGCACCGTGTCCCCTCCCCAGTCGCTAGAGCCTGTGTGGCACCGTGTCCCCATTTAGTGGCCGCAGGCTGCATGGTTCTGTGTCCCTCTTTAGTGGTTGCAGGCTACATGGCACTTTATTAGCCTCCTCGCTGTCGGAATTCCCGCCAAGACCTCTTTCCACCTGGCTTCCCGAGAACTCAGTTCCACGCCATACTTTGTTGCTCAGGTATTTTTATCTGGCTCACAGCAACACGACGCTGAGCTGATCTGCTTCAAATGCAGGGGATTTGTCTCGGCTCCCACATCCCCAAGAAACTTGTTCTTGTTATACACATTTACAGATCGCATCACATTGACTCTACACTGCGTCCGACTTTACAATTAGCTTGGTTACTTAGCAGGAACCAGTCCCTGAGCCGCATGCCCTGTCCACGTTTCGACTTCCTCTTTACCTCTCTCTCCATTCCTAATGTATCCTGACCCTTGTTAGCTTGTTCAGAGTAAATTGGTCCCTGGGTGTTCTCCCTCTTATCTTAGCTGGCTCAGACATTCTGACTTTTTAGCCTATTGACCACTTGACTTATCTTATTTAGCACAAATGTCGTGTTTCCAGCCTGATGAATCATTTGCCTCCCTAATCCTTTCTTCCAAGGAATGAGGCCTCATGTCAGGCCAGGTCTCAGCTACACTCCCATCGTTGTGTTACTGCAGCTGGTTCTTTAGCTCAGCCAGCTGTTGCTCAGGGGGTTAGACCCACACTTCATTGGTTCAAGCCCCAGAGACAACCTGACGTTGCCGTCTTTAAAACGTCTTCCCTGCTGATGAGGTAGGCTGCTGTCTTCCCTGCTGCTTGTTGCTAACCTGTTATTTCCTGCAGCTGACTATCGTAGGGGTTCTCAAACTTCATTGCACCGCGACCCCCTTCTGACAACAAAAATTGCTCAACAACCCCAGGAGGGGGGACCGAATCCTAAGCCCGCTCGAGCCCCACTACTCTGGGTATGGGGGCCAAAACCGAAGCCCAAGGGCTTCAGCCCCAGGCAAGGGGCCTGTAACCTGATCCCCGCCGCCCAGGGCTTCAGCTTTGGCCCCAGGTCCCAGCAAGCCTAAGTCAGCCCTGGCAACCCTATTAAAACAGGGTCCGAACCCACTTTGGGATCCTGACCCACAGTTTGAGAACCGCTATGGTATCAGGTTAATCCCATGTGCTGGAGCTGGAGCCCTCAGAGCCTGGCTTGAATCTCTCTGCGCTGAGGCTGCCCTGTATGTCCCAGCTGCTAATTGCGGAGTGCGCCTTCAGTGACCCCAACGTGAGCCCTGCTCCAGAGCAGATTCAATCCGGATTCACACTGGATTCACAACTCAGGGCAGGACCCAGCCCATGGGGCCCAATTCTGAGCCCCCTCCCTAAATCCACCCCCCTTGTTTCTTCCCTCCAGCCCTGTTCAGCGAGCCCCAGCTGACCTTCAGCCTCTCCAGCGCTGGGGTCACGCTGACCGTCCACACGTGGGGCGGGTACCCCGCGGCCACAGTGCGGTGGCTGGACGAGGCGGGCAGGGACGTCACAGCAGAGGGCGCCACGGAGCAGCAGGTGGATGAACAGGGGCTCTGCCACGTCACCAGCTGGGTCACGGTGCCACCTGTGACCCACAGCGCCAGGCTGACCTTCGTGTTAACCCCTCGTGTGCTGGGGGCACCAATCACCCGGGCACTGAGCCTGCAGCTGAGCCCAGGTGAGTCAGGGAGGGGAGATCTGGATTTCAGCCCCCAGGGGCAGCTCAGCCCTGGGGACCCTGAAAGAGAGTGGGGGCAGGAAGCCAAATGGGGTTGGGGGACCCCCATCTATTCCCCCCCACCCGTCTATTTCCCCCAATGGAAAATCGGCCCAGCCAATGGGATTGGGCCCCCGCCCCTTGCTCTGAGCATTCGCCCCAGCTGTTGTCAGGCAGGGCCCCTGCACTGCATCGCAGCCCCATCCCCTCTCTCTGTTGTAGGACTCCTGGGTCCCCCAGCCTCCTGCCTTGGGGTCCGCCTGGCTGTCATCTGTGCCACCTGCCTCTTCATCGTCCTGCTGGCCGTTGCATTTCTCTACCATCTCCACCAGGGCCCGGCTGGATCCCACTCCTGGAGGAAGGCTGAGGAGGAGGAGGAGCGGATCTCTTGTCCTATCTCAGCCAGCCCCAGCTCAGAACAAGCCTGCCCCACTGGCCATGAGCAGCCAGCCGGGGCCGAGCCCTAGGGATCGGCTAGGGCAGAGCTGGAGCCACCAGGAGCAAGATCTAGCACCTCCCGGGCTCTGTCATCTCCCGGCAACCAAGCCCCAGAGGACCTAGGACAACCCCTGCTGCCCCGGCTCCACCATCTGGCCATGCCCCTCCGCCTGGTGCCCTTGACCTTGGCCAAGAGCTGAGAGACCCGCCTCATCCTCTAGAAGCATCACTGAGGGGTCTCCGGCCTTCACCCCCCACACTGAGAATCAGGCTCCATCCGCGGCCTCGGTTTTCCATCCAGAACCCCCGACATGACGTGCCCTCCCCTGCCCCCGGCAACACCCCTCCTGGGAATGGAGAGGCAGCTGCAGCCCCTGCCCCAGGCATGAGATGGGTGAATGAGCCCAGCTGGGCTGCAGCAGAGCCACTGGACCAGCTGGCCCGCGGAGTGGCAGACTGGGGCCAGGGGTCTGCATGTCAGCCCAGTGGCAGGTCCTTGGCTGCCCAACGCTTGTGCCCGCAGCTGTGATCACTCCTCTGCCTGCCTTGGTCCTGCCCTGCTCCAGCCCGGCTTCTGACCCCTGGCTCCGGTTATTGGCTTGGCTCTGGCTTTTAATCTTGGCGGATTCCTAGTTGCAGCTTTGGCCTGTGGCTCTGGCTTAGACCTGGCTCTAACCACTAGATCGGATGGCCCAGACTAACCACAGCCTGGCACTGGTGCAATCTCTTCTCTAGCTGTCCCTCTTTAGCCCCCTCCCCCGCACATACTGCCCCTTCTTCATCAGCCATCCTATTCCCTGCTGCATTCTCCTCCTGGGACCGGATCAGCCCGCTGTCCTCTTGTCTTGCATCGTGTACAGGTTCCTATACCACCCTCATCACTGCACAGCTGAGTGCCTGCCAGGTCGGGCACTACCCACCGCGATTATGCATCCGCCACGTGCTGTTTGTTCTCTCAGCCTCTCCCCGGATGGAGAAGTCAGTGCACAGGAGGCTCTTGTTTTGGTAGGGTTCCCTTTTCGGTTACTAGAAATAGACCCTGTTGCTGTATGTTTATGTTGGAGAAGGCAGGCCCAAGAGTCTTTGGAGCAGTCAGCAGTCAGGTTTCTAATGAGCCTTGGTTCCTGTGGCAGGTAGTTCCGCAGTCTCGGACCACACTTGAAGAAGGCTCTTGCTCCTGAACAGACCAGCTTTACTCCTATGGTTGAGAATTTCACAGGCCAGAGCTGTCGACCACAGTCTGTTCCCCCGAGCTTTACATGGGCCATGGGATAGGCTGGGCCTAGGCCATGAAGCGCTGTGAAGATAACGACCGGTCACTATCCGGCAGGAAGCCAGCGTAGAGAGCGGAGCAGAGGTGGGATGTGCTCGCGACGGCTTGCACAGCTGAGGAGATGTGCTGCAGCATTTGGCCCTTGTCAGAGTCCCTGCGTGCCGGAGGCTTCCTGCCCGGCCCCATCGCGTTGCTGTCGTCTAGCCAAAGGCGCGAAGCACAGGTCATCCCCCGCCAGGACGGATGGAGTCTCCTAGCCAGCCAGAGATGACAGAAAGCGCCGTGCGCAGCCCTTGGGATGTGAGAGTCCAGCATCAGCGAGGAATCCCGGGGCACTTCTGGACTATGGGCCGGACTGGCCGGTGGGGGACGTGAACTTGAATCAAAGGCAGCTGCTCCGGGGCTGCGAACATCCCCGAGTGCTCTCCTCTGCCCGCCTTGCTTGGGGTTCAGCGCCAGCCAGCTGCTCCCTTCCCAGAGCTGATCTCGCCTGTCGAGGGGCAATGGCGGGGGGTGGGGCGTCTGTGGGCAAGGACAAGTCGAGCTGGGGGGGTCACCCGCTGATTGCTGGCGCTTGAGTCTGTGGTGTCTGACCAGTTCCCCCAGCAGCTGCATGGTGTCGGAACGGGCCAGAGAGAAAACTGACCCTCGGGGAGCCGCTCTAGCCAGGGGTCGGGGGCGGAGGAGCCGTTCCCCATCACTACTTGCTGGGCATGTCCGTTGAGCAATGGTGCAAGTCGAAATAATTTCTTGCCGGTACGCTGCACTCGTGGGAGTGACTCAAAGGGGCGGGGGCACTTGACCCCCCCCCACGTGACTCCTCCCTGCCCCGCCCCCAGCCTGGGGCCCTGGTGCCCTCCCTGTCCCTTCCCCAGGATCCACATCCATCCCATGTTACCTGCGGGCAGAGGGGGCTCTCTTCTCCTCCCGCTGCACCAGAGACTAAGGAGACCCAGCTGTGTGGAAGGGCTGCTGGAGTGAGGCTGCCCTGCTCCTTTCACTGCTGCGGTTCCCGGGAGAGCCTTGAACTGCAGGGCTCTCCGGGGAACCGCAGCAGCGAAAGGAGCAGAAGGTGGGGCCGCTGGGCTGTACCACCCCCAGCCCAGCTCAGCCCTGTCCTCCAGTGGGGCTTCTGTACAGACCCCAGGCAGGACTCAGGAGACACAGCTGAGTGGAAGGGCTGGGGATGGGCTCCTCCTGTGTCTTTGCAGCTATAAATATCACAGTGGCACAGCAGACCGGACCAGAGCACCCTACTTGCCCCGCTGCCATTGAGGAAGGAATCCAACCATGGGCTCCTGGCACCTCTCTCAGCGGCGTCCTACACTCGACAGGGTCAAATGCTGCAGAGAATGCCAGGGGGTGGGGATGGATATCTGCCCCCTCTCCTCACCAGGAGGGGGCCATCCATCGGTGCCATGAAACAATTTCAGCTCCGTGTCCTGGCCTGAATCCTGCTTGGGCCGAGTCCCGCACGTTGGCTTGAGTCAGATGAGCCTGTGGGTGGCTTTGGAACAAAGCTCAGGAGCAACGGGTCTGAGACGGGGCAACAGTTGGCTACAACCTAGGGCTGCAGGGCGGGTTTCTGCAGTGCTCTCCTGTGTGGGGATGTGGAAGGGACGGTCCCTTCTCTCTGTGGCTGTTTCAGCCAGGAGTGGCACCAGGGGTTCACGACTCTCTCACAAGCCAGGAAGAGTCTGGGCCGGGTTCCCAAGTCCTGGACCAGGACTGTTTTGGGGAGTCCTTCGTGTCTGGCCCAGTGACTGTCCCGAAAGCTCAGCACTGTTGGCCTGTAGCCAGCTTTGGAATCTGTTGGAGTGCGTGAGTCTCCGTGGTTGAATTAGGCTCATTGATCTTTTTTGCTTCTGGGTGACCTCGAGCAAGTCATCCCTGCCTGTGCCTCAGTTTCCCATCTATAAAATGGGGATAACACTACTGCTATTCTTTATAACATGCCATGAGAGCTGCTGCTGTTTCAAGTGATTTGTTATTTATTTGTATTGTTAAAGTGTTTGTTATTTATTATTTGTATTGTTAAATCTGTCCATCTTTGGCCTTAAAATCCACGTACATGTGTCATGCAGGGACTTAAGGAGATTGAGCTTTTTAGCTCAGCGAAGAGGCGGCTTGATTCTGTTCTATCAACATGACCCTGGGAAGGAGATTTCTGAGAGCGGAAACCCGCTGGTCTGATCTAGAGCATGGTTGGGGCAGCTGTGCCAGGATACCAGGCTGGCTGGGCCCATGCGTCTGATGCAGGGCGGCAGGGAGGGGTTTGGGGGTGGAATAAAAATACCCCAGAATTCCCCGTACTACAGAGAGGGCTCAGCTCCACAACCGCCTCCACAGCTGAGGGGGGCGCAGAAGAGAGTAGGGCCGGAGCGGCTGCTGTGGTGCCCTGGATCGGGCCGAGGTGCCATTAGGCACCAGAGTGATCAAGCGGGAAGAACTTTCCTGTCCCATCCCCTCTGCCCTGGACTCACCCCCATCCCCCTCCTGCCCCTGACACCCCAACTTCCTCCGGCCTCTCCCCACTCCCCATGGGATGCACAGTGCGATACAATCTCCTGGCCCATACAGGAAAAAACAACCACCCCCACAACACACAAACAGTGAAGTGGAACCCCCAGAAAAAAAACAAACAGTCGAAATCCCAACTGATTTCTCACCTTCTCTGGGGCTGTGAAAACCGCCCGGAGTTTATGAGCAGCTTATGGCCGGCTGTTCTCATGAGCCCCAGTTGTCTCCATTTCCTCCCACAATAAAACAGCTTGTGCAGAAATATTTGACCCGCCAGACCAACAGTCTGCCCCAGCTGTACAAAAAGGGCCTGGGAGTAGGGTGGATGCTGTAATCCTGAGTGCAGGTTAAGGCATTTGCCAGTGCCACAATGGGCTACAGAACACATACATGATGGGCCAGTGTCGATGAATATATATTTATATGCTAGCCAGCCTGTATCATGTTAATAGCGTGCCTTAGCTGCACCCTTTCTGTACATTAGTATACATTAAGTACCACTAGCATGAAGCCCAAATACCGTAACCATGCTGTAGGCTAAGCTGGCCTGGACCAGAACCCTGTTCCCTTATGCCAAGTACCCCAGAACTCCTTGCGTTTACTGAAATAGGGATTTGGCAGAAGCCAATAGGAAATGCGTCAAAAGCAAGATACCGTTGTTCCACACCTTAGTACAGGCTGGGCAGGAGCGTCACGGAGCAGGCCCTGGAAGGCTGGTCCCAACCCGGAGATAAGGGAGGAACAGAACAGGTTAGGGAACTGGGACAAACCGAGGGGTCGGTTCCAGTGACGTGGGAAGAAATTTACAACTTGTAAAATCGTATCACCGAGACCAGGGGAGCAAATCATCTCCATCGGGCGACTGTAACGAGATTGCACAGGACGGCTCTTCGGCGACTGGCATCATTTGGAACCTCTTCCCTGTAGCATATTAATAAACCTGACTGATACTGGTTATTTTGTCTCTTGAGCGTATTTCATAACGAAATATCGAACCAAAGTGTGGTCAAGCTATTGACTACGCCAGTGGTTTTCAACCTGAGGTCCATGGACCCTTGGGAAGCCACAGACTATGTCTAAGATTTCCAAAGGGCTCCCCAACTCCATTTGAAATTTTTAGGGGTCTGCCAATGAAAACCTGTTGGAAACCACCAGACTATACGATTTTGCCTGCAGGGGATAATGTGCATATTACACACGCTATGCAAAGTAGCATTAGACTGTGTCACTCTGCAATTCATAGAGTCTAAGGCAGAAGGGACCATTGCAAGTGGCTACTCCATGGGTTCTCAATCTATGGAGCGGGCCTCCCAACAGAGGCACAGGAATGTGTGAAGGGAGGTGTGAGCTAAGTGCTTCTTTGGGGGGGCTTTTAAGAGCGCTGTCTGAGGCTCGTGCAGAAGGGCCATGCAGACCCCAGAGGCAGGGAATAGCTGGAGCTCCCTGGTCCCCAGGGTACAACCTGCAACTGAGAGATCGCTGTGCCCACTTAACTCTCCAGCCTGGGCTCTCTGTCACACTGCTATGCCAGTGACAGGCAGCAAACCCCCTCCAGGCGCTGTGGTCACTCAGCCATCTGCGTGAATGATCCCTGAGCCACTCATGAGCTTACGGAGAGAGGCACCAGATAATCACCCCAGCTCTCAGCCTTGCACCCCACCGATATACCGTCTTACTGCCCAAGAATCCCTTGGACAGCACAAACTCATTAAGTAGTTCGCCACGTTATCAAAGGAATGTGGACATGCACCAGCCTTTGTAAGCCGGGCTGAGATTCCGCGTGTGACAGGTTCGGTCACAGAGACCCCCCTTGGGACTGTCACCTGATTTGCTGAATTTACTTCTGAGCCCGTCTTTAACCAAAACCTGCTTAGCAAGTTATCTATCTCCAGCACCGAGACACCCAGCTCCCAATGGGATCCAAACCCCAAATAAATCCGTTTTACTCTGTATAAAGCTTATACAGGGTAAACTCATAAATTCTCCACTCTCTATAACACTGATAGAGAGATATGCACCGCTATAGACTAGGGACCGAATGGCTCGGCAGCAGTTCTGCAGAAAAGGACCTAGGGGTTACAGTGGACGAGAAGCTGGATATGAGTCAACAGTGTGCCCTTGTTGCCAAGAAGGCCAATGGCATTTTGGGATGCATAAGTAGGGGCATTGCCAGCAGATCGAGGGATGTGATCGTTCCCCTCTATTCGACACTGGTGAGACCTCATCTGGAGTACTGTGTCCAGTTTTGGGCCCCACACTACAAGAAGGATGTGGAAAAATTGGAAAGAGTCCAGCGGTGGGCAACAAAAATGATTAGGGGACTGGAACACATGAGTTATGAGGAGAGGCTGAGGGAACTGGGGATGTTTAGTCTTCAGAAGAGAAGAATGAGGGGGGATTTGATAGCTGCTTTCAACTACCTTAAAGGGGGTTCCAAAGAGGATGGCTCTAGACTGTTCTCAGTGGTAGCTGATGACAGAACAAGGAGTAATGGTCTCAAGTTGCAGTGGGGGAGATTGAGGTTGGATATTAAGAAAAACTTTTTCACTAGGAAGATGGTGAAACACTGGAATGTGTTACCTAAGGAGGTGGTGGAATCTCCTTCCTTAGAAGTTTTTAATGTCAGGCTTGACAAAGCCCTGGCTGGGATGATTTAGTCGGGGATCAGTCCTGCTTTGAGCAGGGGGTTGGACTAGATGACTTCCTGAGGTCCCTTCCAACCCTGATAGTCTATGATTCTATATGCACGGCTGTTTAATAGCTGGGGGAGCAATCACTTAATTAATAAACAAAAGTGATTTTATTAACCCAGAGTATAAAAAGTAGGATTTAAGTGGTTCCAAGTAATAACACACAGAACAAAGTAAGTTACCAAGCAAAATAAAACAAAACACGCAATCGAAACCTAATACATCAAAAAACTGATTACAGATAAAAATCTCATCCTCAGAAATGTTCTGATAAGCTTCTTTCACAGACTGGACTCCTTCCTAGTCTGGGCCCAATCCGTTCCCCTGGTACAGTTCTGGTTAGTTCCAGCTCCGGTAGTAACTAGGGGATTTCTCATGACTGGCAGCCACCTTTGTTCTGTTCCACTCCCTTTTATAGCTTTGGCACAAGGTGGGAATACTTTGTTTCTCTCCATCTTCCCACCCCTCCCTCTAAATGGAAAAGTGCCAGGTTAAAGATGGGTTCCAGTATCATGTGACATGTTCACATGTCCTGTGAGCCCCCCTCCATTCTTTCAGGACTGGCCCGCATGCAAGTATGCAGTGGAGGCTTGCAGGTAAACAGAGCCATCTACAGTCAATTGTCCTAGTCAAGGGGAGCCATCAAGATTCCAAGGCACCATTAATGGCCCACACTTTGCATACTTATAATAGGACCTCAGAGTTATACTTGATATTTCTAGCTTTAGATACAGGAATGATACATGCATACAAATAGGATGACCACACTCAAGATTATAAAACTTTGTAGTGATATTTTACAAGAGACCTTTTGCATAAAGCTGTGATGCAGCAGGGAGGGGGGAGTGTTGACCTGGGACTGTGGCAGGGGAGTTTCAATGGGAGACCTGAGAGCCTGTCACCTGAGCCAGGAGGGTGAGAGGGAGGTAACACCTCTGCCCAGGAATGTGAACAGAGGCTGCAGGAGAGAGCCGGCTAAGGGGGGTTTAGTTTCAGTTTGGTGCTGGGTGGTGGAACGCAATGAACCCCAGGGGCTGGGGTCTAAGCTCCCTGCTCCCCCCCCCAGAAGGACTTAACTAAGGGGTCCTGGTTGTACCCACAAGCTCTGTTTGAGACTGTGTCCCAGTTGTCCAATAAACCTTCTGTTTTACAGGCTGGCTGAGAGTCTCAGTGAATCCCAGGAAGAGGGGTGCAGGGCCTGGACTCCCCCACACTCCGTGATAAAAGCATATTCCCATTACATTATATTCACTGATTAGCATATTTCCATAGAACATATGGAGTGCAACATCACACTCCAACCACTTCAACCAAGCCAGATTTATTAATTACGGTAAGATAAATGTTAAGAGATTATAAGTAGCAGGCACAGAGATCAGAGGTAGTAACACAGAAATAAAAAATTCACAGGCTAAATTCTACAAAGCACAATTTGAATCAAGCAGTCTGTCCCTCTCATAGATGTTACAGGCAGCTCACGCTTCTCAATACACAGGCTGGATTCTTTTTCCAGCTTGGGACCAATCACCCTCCCCTGCTCCAGCAGGTAAGATTGAGTCACGGGTATTTTTAGTGAAAGTCATGGACCGGTCATGGGCAATAAACAAAAAGTCACCTCCCTGAATCATAACAATATCACAGCGGTTAATATGGAGGCTAACTTTGCCCAAGGACAATAAACGTAGTGCTAAATGGAATTTGTAGCTGCTCTGTACAAAGTAAGGCTTCATTGCCCGGGAATCCTGACAAGCAGCCCTGGGCCAGTCCCCCAGGAGGAGGCTGAGCCCATTGTGTCCAGCACGCACCTGTAGCATAGAATCATAGAATATCAGGGTTGGAAGGGACCCCTGAAGGTCATCTAGTCCAACACCCTGCTCAAAGCAGGACCAATTCCCAGTTAAATCATCCCAGCCAGGGCTTTGTCAAGCCTGACCTTAAAAACCTCTAAGGAAGGAGATTCTACCACCTCCCTAGGTAACGCATTCCAGTGTTTCACCACCCTCTTAGTGAAAAAGTTTTTCTTAATATCCAATCTAAACCTCCCCCACTGCAGCTTGAGACCATTACTCCTCGTTCTGTCATCTGCTACCATTGAGAACAGTCTAGAGCCATCCTCTTTGGAACCCCCTTTCAGGTAGTTGAAAGCAGCTATCAAATCCCCCCTCATTCTTCTCTTCTGCAGGCTAAACAATCCCAGCTCCCTCAGCCTCTCCTCATAACTCATGTGTTCTAGACCCCTAATCATTTTTGTTGGCCTTCGCTGGACTCTCTCCAATTTATCCACATCCTTCTTGAAGTGTGGGGCCCAAAACTGGACACAGTACTCCAGATGAGGCCTCACCAATGTCGAATAGAGGGGAACGATCACGTCCCTCGATCTGCTCGCTATGCCCCTACTTATACATCCCAAAATGCCATTGGCCTTCTTGGCAACAAGGGCACACTGCTGACTCATATCCAGCTTCTCGTCCACTGTCACCCCTAGGTCCCTTTCCGCAGAACTGCTGCCTAGCCATTCGGTCCCTAGTCTGTAGCTGTGCATTGGATTCTTCCGTCCTAAGTGCAGGACCCTGCACTTATCCTTATTGAACCTCATCAGATTTCTTTTGCACTTACAGTCTGCACGCACAGGGGTCTCTCAGTGCAGCCCTGGGTACCCGGATCTGGTTTCCCACACAGCAGTTTCTTTGGCGAGGCCGGTCCTCCCCCCACAGCGCCCCCCCTCCCCTCCGCGGCCGGCAGGGGGCGGTCCTCCCCCCCCCCCCTCCCCCCCGCGGCCGGCAGGGGGCGGTCCTCCCCCCCCCACAGCGCCCCCCCCCCCCCGCCGCGGCCGGCAGGGGGCGGTCCTCCCCCCTCACAGCGCCCCCCCCACCTCCCCGCGGCCGGCAGGGGGCGGTCCTCCCCCCCACAGCGCCCCCCACCTCCCCGCGGCCGGCGGGGGCGGTCCTCCCCCCCCCCCCCCGCGGCCGGCAGGGGGCGGTCCTCCCCCCTCACAGCGCCTCCCCTCCCCCCCGCGGCCGGCAGGGGCGGTCCTCACTCCACAGCGCCCCCCACGCGGCCAGCAGGAGCAGGGGGCGGCCGGAGCCCGGGACCATCGCGCTGCAGAGGGGCGAGAGCAGCTGGAAGAGACGGGGGGAGAGTGGGTGTTAGCAGGGGCCGGGCCCAGCATCTGCCACCAGCATCTGTGACTGGGCTCTGCCACTGCCCCATCGCATCCCCCCCCCCCACTGCCGGTCACCGGCCCCAGCCCCACACGCACCCGCCCGT